AGATGAGCAGGTCAGGCCAGCCACCCTGGCCCCTATTATAATAACAAGCTTGTTCCGCCAGTGTCTCCACATTACACGACCACTCGGCCGGCTGGCGAAAAGAAAAATAACTCCGCCACGAAGGAAACCTCAGCTCGGCCTCGAGACGCCGCTTACGGTCGCGGGCCCGAGCGCAGGCCGGCAGAAGGGGCGTGCGTGGCGCCGTCTGCCCAGCGGGCATTGCAGGCCCCGCGAGAAAACAGTCCAGGACCTGCTGCAGACGCCTCCCCCCTCTGCACTCCCAATAAAAGGGAAAGACTGGAATAAAGAGTCTGCGGCTTGGCAGTTTTGACAACGGGTCTAAGGACTCTCTGCGGCGCCCACGCAGCTCGTGCTTCGCAGGCGGCCCCACTCACCGCGTTTCCCCCGAAAGTAAGACCTACCAGCAAGACAAGCCCCAGCAGGATGTCCGAGCACGTGCGCAGTGGAAACCCCACCCCGAAAATCAGCCCTAGTCGACGGCGTGCTTCGCAGCGCATCTGCACAACCCATGCGTGTCGTCCGCGGAGGGAAAGAACACCGAGCAGCCCTTTCTCATCCCGCCGCCGTGAGACTCTAAGTGCTCCACATGGCACGAGATCGGGGCCAGGTGGATTCACAAGGAAACAGAGTCGCAAGAATTCAGGATGATTCGGGTCTGGAGAGTGAGGATGAGTTCCGAAGAAGACGACTTCACTCTATTTGAATCGATGGAGACTGTTTGCTACCTGTGCTTAAAAAAAACAAAACAACACATCCCCTGAAAATCATCCCTGGGGTGTCTTCTGGAGGAAAAATAAAGACAAGACCCCGCCTTGTTTTCGGGGAAACACGGCACACCCAGGACCTCTGACACAGTCCGCAGAGGGAGGCTCTTTCGGGGGACGTGGGGCCGCCATTCACAAAACGCACACGGGGTTCGCAGGAGCGGGCCAAAGGACAGGGCAGGGCCGACGGGCCTCCCTCCCTGCGGCCTCTGGCCTCCACCCAGAGGCCCTGGTGAAAGACCCCGAAGAATGAATAGGCCTCCGGGGTTGGGGAGGGGGCAGAAATTCCCGTGATGGAAACGAAGGCGGCTTCCTCCCAGGTCAAACGTTAAAGAGGACTTTGAAGGAAAAAAAGCAGCCGGGCCTGGCTAGCCGGAAAAGGGAAGAACTCATGACTCGCCGAAAAAATCACAGACCCACGCTGGACACGGTTTCATATTTAAATTTTTTTTTGGAGACGCGAGCAGGCATCGTGGGCTGTTTGTCTCGCCCGCCAAGAATGGGCCGGATGGCTACGACACAAAGGGCGCTTTTTAATTAATTAATTAATTTTTTATTATTTTTTTTTTAATTTTAGCGTGTTATTGGGGTACAAGTGTTAAGGTGTACCCCTTAACACTTGTTAAAGCGTGGCGTTTCACTTTTCCAGAAGTGTGTTTAAAGGGGAAGGCATTGGCCCTTCTTCCCCCACCCCCATTCCTCTTTCCCTTGGCTGGAATGTGGACGCGAGGGCCAGCGCCTCAGCAGCCACCTTGGGCCAGCAGGTGGGAGGCCGTGGAGTTGAGGACGCTGGCCCCAAAAGAGGAAAGGAGCTTGGGCCGCCTTTCGTGGAACCCGCCTGGAATCCCCCCATACACCAGCCCTTGGACTGCTGCTGGTGTCCAAATCTCATTTATGTGAGTTAGGAATAAAAATTCTACCTTGTTTTAGCTATGATGTTGAGTTGCTTTTTTTTTTTTTTTTTTGCATTTCCCAGACGAACCCAGTTTTAACTGACAAAACGAGATAATATATATTACAGTAATATTTCCAGGGGCTGGCTTAGGTCAACCGGTGGAGTTGGGGTCATTCGCGCTCTGGATAGAGTCATGGGGAGGATCATAGCTGGCCGTTGTGGTCCAGCCGTGCTTTGCCAGGGACGCCGACTACCCCGCTTTACGCCCTGCGATGGTCTCCACGCCCCTTAAAAATAGGGCAACAGCTGTTGGTGGCAGGTCATAGCAAGGCAGCTGGACAGAAATGGGACCTGGGAGAGGTCCCAGCCCAGATCGTGGAGGAGCGGGATGAGAGGTGAAGAAACGCCAGTCGCGAGAATAAGTCAGATAGGGATTCGGGGGGTTGGTGGGGAGTAGACCCACATCTTAGGGATGTGGTGAGCATTGTGGAGGGGAAGGGCATACCTCTAACCCTTGCTAGGGAGAAGCAAAGTTATAAAATCTAACCAAAATGTTAAAAAAAAAATTTATCGGGTGTCGGGCAGGTGGGAGGGGGAGAGAGAGATAGGCCGGGCGCTGTGGCTCAGGCTTGTCATCCTAGCACTCTGGGAGGCCGAGGTGGGAGGATCGCTCAAGGTCAGGAGTTCAAAACCAGTCTGAGCAAGAGCGAGCTCCCCCATCTCGCCTAAAAATAGAAAGAAATGAATTGGCCAACTAAAAATACATAGAGAAAAAATGAGCCGGGCATGGTGGCGCATGCCTGTAGTCCCAGCTACTCGGGAGGCTGAGGCGGGAGGATCGCTTGAGCCCAGGAGTTTGAGGTTGCTGTGAGCGAGGCTGACGCCACGGCACTCACTCTAGCCTGGGCGACAGAGCGAGACTCTGTCTCAAAAAATAAATAAATAAAGAGCGTGCCCCAGCTCTGCAGGAGGACTAAGAGGCTGTGTGAGTATTTCTGCCGTGTGTGCTAAGGATTAAATGAGACACTTCATGCTAAGTAACCAAGTCAGGACCTGGGCATGTTAAATATGCAAGTATTTTAGTAATATAGACTTTTTAAAAATATCAATATTTTAATATATATTTTTCTCTCTTTATTTTCATTTCAGCATATTGTGGGGGTACAAATATTAAGGTTACGTATATTGCCCTTCCTCCCCCACTCCTCCCTCAAATTATTTTAGTAATATAGACTTTCATAGTGCAAAGGGATCTCTTAGCTATAAAAGATGATTTTGATCTCAGAGATCGTAGGCTCTGGATATATGATCATTGCTCTCAAACAACATATAATACAATATATGGTGCTCAAAGGGTGGGGTTCACCAGGGATTCGGGGGGTTGGTGGGGAGTAGACCCACATCTTAGGGATGTGGTGAGCATTGTGGAGGGGAAGGGCATACCTCTAACCCTTGCTAGGGAGAAGCAAAGTTATAAAATCTAACCAAAATGTTAAAAAAAAAATTTATCGGGTGTCGGGCAGGTGGGAGGGGGGAGGAGGGGATAGGTATGTATATATATGTATATATATATATATATATATATACACACATTATAAGTGCAATGTGCATTGTTAGGGGGATGGACACGCTTGAAGCTCTGACTCTAGAGGGGAAAGGAAGGCAAGAGCAATGTTATGTAACTGTGAACTAAAGCAAAATTTTAAGGCTCAACCCCCACCAGCTGACTGCATGGACCCCCCCCGCGTGGCCAAAGGAATATCCTAAAATTAAATCATCTGTGAGGAGGAAGGAGGTCAGACAGGCCTTATCATGCTCCCCTCCCTTCTTGGGGACATCCTTTGTGACCCATTAACAGGCCTAAGGGTATGCAAGACACACCTGCAGGTCCTCAGTTTACACAACAAATCTATGTCCCTTAGCTTATCTCTGATAACAGCTCCTTATGTTGAAACATTACAAGCCTTTAGACAAAGCTTCATGTCTTTAACCAATCACAAGCCAAAGAATCTTTAAACCCACCTGTAACCTGTAAGCCCCGCCCCCTTCGAGATGTCCCACCTTTTTGGGCCAAGCCAATGTCTGCCAACCACGTATCGATTGATGACTTTACCTATAAATCCCTGTCTCCCTGAACTGTATATATATATATTTTTTGTTTGTTTGTTTGTTGTTGTTTTGAGACAGAGTCTCACCTTGTTGCCCAGGCTAGAGTGAGTGCCGTGGCATCAGCCTCGCTCACAGCAACCTCAAACTCCTGGGCTCAAGCGATCCTCCTGCCTCAGCCTCCCGAGTAGCTGGGACTACAGGCATGCGCCACCATGCCCGGCTAATTTTTTCTATATATATTAGTTGTCCAATTAATTTCTTTCTATGTTTAGTAGACATGGGGTCTCGCTCTTGCTCAGGCTGGTCTCGAACTCCTGACCTCGAGTGATCCTCCCGCCTCAGCCTCCCGAGTAGCTGGGACTACAGGCATGTGCCTCCATGCCCGGCTCATTTTTTCTCTATATATTTTTAGTTGTCCCATTAATTTCTTTCTGTTTATAGTAGAGACGGGGGGGTCTCGCTCTTGCTTGGGCTGGTCTCGAACTCCTGAGCTCGAGCGATCCTCCCACCTCGGCCTCCCCCCAGAGTGCCGGGATGACAGGCGTGAGCCGCCGCGCCCGGCCTCGGTCCGTCTTCCCAAGGGAAAACGAACACCAGGCCCCGTCTCATTTTCGGGGAGGCACGGTGCTGCCACCTACCGTCGCTGCTGCCCCTGAGGACCACGTCGGGGGACGGCGTCTGCCGGGAGCGGGAGCCGAAGGAGTCCAGGCTGTCGAAGGAATCATCCCTGCCGTGCCGGGGAGGGGACAGCGAGTCGCTGCGCTCCGAGTCCCAGCAGTCCACGTAGCCGCTGTCCCGCACGCTGCGTTTCGGGCTGTCCGCGTCGTCGGCCTCCTGTCAGGGGAGAGGACGGAAGGGTCACAGGCGCGGCTGCAGGCCAGCCAGCGAGGGCCGGAAAACCGGGCTCCGGCCGGCCGGCTGGGAGAAAACCCCGCACGGCCCGTCCGTGGGGAGAGGCTGCAGGGCCGGGTGGGGCAGCTCGTGCCTGTCATCCCGGCAATGGGGGAGGCTGAGGAGGGAGGATCGCTCTCGAGGTCAGGAGTTCGAGACCAGCCTGAGCAAGAAGAGCGAGAACCCCCCCCATCTCTACTATAAATAGAAAGAAATTAACTGGACAACTAATATAGATAGAAAAAGTTAGCCAGGTGCGGTGGCTCACGCCTGTCATCCTGGCACTCGGGGAAGCTGAGGCCGGAGGATCGCTTGAGGTCAGGAGTTTGGAAACCAGCCTGAGCAAGAAGAACGAGACCCTCCCCCCGTCTCTACTAAAAATAGAAAGAAATTAATTGGACAACTAAAAATATATAGAAAAAATTAGCCGGGCGTGGTGGCGCATGCCTGTAGTCCCAGATACTTGGGAGGCTGAGGCAGGAGGATCGCTTGAGCCCAGGAGTTGGAGGTTGCTGTGAGCAAGGCTGACACCACAGCACTCACTCTAGCCTGCTCGCCGAAAAAATCACAAGACACGCTGACACGTTTCATATTTAAATTTTTTTTTGGAGACGCGAGCAGGCATCGTGGGCTGTTTGTCCCGCCCGCCGAGAACGGCCGGATGGCTACGACACAAAGGGCGCTTTAATTTTAATTAATTATTATTATTATTTTTTTTATTTTAGCCTGTTATTGGGGTACAAGTGTTAAGGTGTACCCCTTAACACTTGTTAAAGCGTGGCGTTTCACTTTTACAGAAGTGTGTTTAAAGGAGGCATTGGCCCTTCTTCCCCACCCCCATTCCTCTTTCCCATGGCTGAATGTGGACGCGAGGGCCAGCGCCTCAGCAGCCACCTTGGCCAGCAGGTGGGAGGCACGTGGAGTGAGGACGCTGGCCCAAAGAGGAAAGGAGCTGGCCGCCTTCTCGTGGAACCCGCTGGAATCCCCCCATACACCAGCCCGTTGGACTGCTGCTGTGTCCAAATCTCCATTTATCGTGAGTAGGAATAAAAAATCTACCTTGTTTTACATGATGTTGAGGTTGCTTTTTTTTTTTTTTTTTTGCATCCAGACAACTCCAGTTTTAACTGACAAACGAATAAAAATATTACTAGTAATATTTCAGGGCTCTTAGGTCAACCGGTGGAGTTGGGTCATTCGCGCTCTGGATAGAGTCAATGGGGAGGATCATAGTGGCCGTTGTTGGTACCAGCCGTCGCTTGGCCAGGGACGCCACTACTACCCCGCTTTACGCCCTGCGATGGTCTCCACGCCCCCTTAAAAATAGGGCAACACTGTTGGGCGTCATAGCAAGGCAGCTGGAACAGAAATGGACCTGGGAGAGTCCCAGCCAGATCGTGGAGGGAGCGGATGAGACGGTGAAAGAACACCGCCAGTTCCGAGATAAGTCAGATCCCGTAATCCGAGGGGAAACCGCGGAGGCCAGACTTTGTTTTTTTTTTTTGAGACTCAGTCTCACCCTTGTTGCCCAGGCTAGAGTCAGTGCCATGGCGTCTCAGCCTCCGCTCACAGCAACCTCAACTCCTGGCCTCAAGCGATCCCTCCCTGCCTCAGCCTCCCGACGTAGCTGGACTACAGGCATGCGCCACAACGCTTGCTAATTTTTTTCTATATATATATGCGTCAATTAATTTCTTTTCATTTATGTAGAGACGGGGTTCTCGCTCTTGCCAGGTTGGTTTCGAAACTCCTAACCTTGAGCACCACCCGCCTCGGCCTCACCAGAGTGCTGGATTACAGGCGTGAGCCACCGCGCCCGGCCTGAGCAGAGCTTTTAAAAGAGTTTCAGAAAGATGCACCCCATCTGTTACCATTCGAGTTCGAATCTAACGACACTAAAACAACGCACAGTCAGACTTCTCAAATCCAGACTGGAACTCACCGTGACAGTCTCTCTAAGAATAAAGTTAGGTGGGGAAAAAAAAAAAAAGTCAAAGGACAAATAAGAGCGAAGACTAGGAAACGACACCCTGTGTTTAATTGTGCGGCTGTGTTTATTTTATTTTTCAGAGGAATCTAGCTTGAAGGACTTTGTTTATGTGCGCTACAACGTGAGCCGGGCGGGCCCTGGCCGAACTGGGAAGAACTGTTAGGACTACGAGCTTTCATCTAAGGGCAGGCAGGAGAGGAAGTGGTTAGAAAGTCGGAACAAATTCTCGCTTTCCGCATTAAGAGAAAAACCCGTAAAGCAAGGCATGCCTCTCAGTAAGTTCTCATCAGTCCGCTTGCTCTGCGTGTTTACAGAGATACGAAAGAGAAAGGCCTCAGTTATTTGCGCTCACATGTGGGCCTTAGCCAAAAAATACACAGATGCTGACCACAAACGAGCCTTACCTGTTCACCAGGTGTCCTCGAACTCCGGCCCTCGGGCCACACGCGGGTGTTTTTGCCCGTTTGGTTTTTTTTTTTTTTAACTTCAAAATAAGATATGTGCAGTGTGCATAGGAATTTGTTCATAGGTTTTGTTTTTTTTTTAAGCTATAGTCCGGCCCTCAGACGGTCTGAGGGACAGTGAACTGGCCCCCTGTTTAAAAAGTTTGAGGACGCCTGCTGTTCACCAAAGCTGGCGGGTGGATTTCTCCTGATACTACACACTTTATATGAAATATGTATTTTTTTTTTTTTGAGACAGAGTCTCACTCTGTTGCCCAGGCTAGAGTGAGTGCCGTGGCGTCAGCCTAGCTCACAGCAACCTCAGACTCCTGGGCTCAAGCGATCCTCCTGCCTCAGCCTCCCGAGTAGCTGGGACTATAGGCATGCACCACTATGCCCAGCTAATTTTTTCTATATATATTAGTTGACCAATTCATTTCTTTCTATTTATAGTAGAGATGGGGGGGGAGGTCTGGCTCTTGCTCAGGCTGGTCTCGAACTCCCGACCTCGAGCAATCCGCCCGCCTCGGCCTCCCAGAGTGCTAGGATCGCAGGTGTGAGCCACCGCACATGGCCGAGACACACATTTTGACGAACCCTTGAAGTGGGTAAGACTCCAGTTTTAGGAGTTTAAGG